ATTCATGTTTTCTCCCAGGAATTTTCTGTTTTTAGCGCTTAGGTTTTTTTATCCTTTTTTTTTTTTAATCCTCACCAGAGGATATTTTTTCCATTGATTTTTAGATAGAGTGGAAAGGAGGGAGGGAGGGAGAGAGAGAAAGAAAAAAGGAGAGAGAGAGAAGCATCAATGCAAGAGAGACACATCAATTGACTGCATCCCACACGACCCTGACTGGAGATCAAACCTGCAACCCAGGTACATGGCCCTTGACTGGGACTCAAACCCTCAACCCCCTCAGTCTGGACGCTCTAACCACTGAGCAAAACTTGCCAGGGCCAGAGGATATGTTTTTATTGATTCTAGAGAGAGAGAGAGAAACATCGATGTGAGATATGGTTGCCTACCATATGGGTCCTTGCCACGGATCCAACCTGAAACCTAGGTATGTGCCCTGATCAGGAATTGAACCCAGAACCTCTTGGTGTAGGGGAAAACACTCTAACCACCTAAGCCACCCAGCCAGGACTTTGAGTTTATTTTTATGTGGTTTGGAGAAAGTGTCAACTCCACTGTTTTGCATATGTCTATCCAAATCCGAGTTCTTTCGAAGAACAGACTATTCTTTCTCCATTGAATTTTTTTTGCATCCTTATCAAAAATTATTTGACCATAGACATGTGAGTTTTTGTACACTCACTTCTATTCCATTGATCTAGATGTCTGTCCTTGTGCCAGTATCGTCCTGTCTTCATTACCATTTCTTTGAAGTAAATTTTGATATCAGGAAGCTTGAGTCTCTGTTTTTTTTTTCTTTTTCAATACTGTTTTGTCTATTCAGGATCCCTTGCAATTTCATATGAACTTTAGGATCAGCTTGTCCATTTTTTAAAAAAAAAAAAAAAAAAAAAAGCTGTTGGAATTTTTATAGTGATTACATTGAATCTGTAGATTGCTTTGGTTAGATTAGTATTGTCATCCTAACAATATTAAACAATATTAAGTTTTCCAATTCACATCCTTTTGTTATTTACTTGTAATATGCTTCTATTGTGGTCAGAGAAGATACTTTGTATATGAATTCACTGTTATTAAGTTTATTCAGACTTATTTTGTGGCCTAACATATGGTCTATTCTGAAGAATGTTCCATATATACTTGAGTTGAATATGTATTCTGTTGTTGGATGGAGTGTTTTATATGTCTTTTAGGTCCAGACAGTTTACAGAATTGGCTAAGTCCTCTGTTTCCGTATTGATTTTCTAACTAGTTTTTCCATCTATTATTGAATGTGGCGTGTTGAAGTCTGCATCTATTACTGTAGTCTTTATTTCTCCCTTCAATCCTGTCAATTTTGAATTTATATATATTTTTAATTCTGTTGTTAGAAACATATATGTCTCTAATTATTATACCTTCTTGATGAAGCTACTTTTATTGTTAAGTAATATCTTTCTTTGTGTCTTATAACAATTTTTGTCTTAAAGTCCATTTTGCCTAAAGCTATACAATCTCTCTTTTAGCTGCTGTTTTCATGGAATATCTTTTCCCAGCAGTTGACGTTCAACCAATTAATATCTTTAGATGTCAAGTGAGTGTCTTACAGATAGCATATAATTGGATGATTTTTAATCTCCTCTGCCAGTGTCTGCCTTTTAATTGGACATAGATTAATCCATTTATATTTAAGGCAATTACTAATAAAGAAGGACCTATTTATGCCATTTTGTTACTTGTTTTCTATTCCTCAATTCCTTCATTATTATTTACCTTTGTGTTCTATATTTTCTATTGGACCATTTTAATTCCCTGCTCACTTTTTGTTTTTTAGATTTTGGGGGGTTTTTAATTAAATTGGGGTGACATTGGTTTGGGGGTTTGTGTGGTTTTTTTAGTTATTTTTAGTGGCTGTCCTGATTATTACAATTAACATTGTAATTTATAATCTATTGATTTAACACCAATTTTGTTCAATAGCATACAAAAGTTTTGTTCCTATATAGCTACATCCCCATACATTCCCCCACCCCACTTTATCACCCATTGCATCTTTATACATTGTGTGACTATCAACATAGATTTATAATGGTTGGTTTAGGCATTTTTCTTTTAAGTCATATAGGAAAAAAAGTTACAAACCAAAAATAAAAGGAGTTAAAAACAAAAAACAATTGTTATTGACATTTTTATGTACCTATGTATTTTCCTTTATCAGTATTCTTTATTTCTTTTTGTGGATTTGAGTTGCTAGCCATTGTCTTTTTATTTCAGTCCAAAAGTTTTCCATTAGCATTTCTTACAGAGTAGATATACTAGTGATCTCTGTCTCTTTCAGTTTGACCTATTTGGGGTTTGTTAAGCTTCTTGGTTGTGTATATTTGTGTTTTTCATCAAATTTGGTAAGTTTTTAGCCATTATTTCTTCAAATATTCTTTTTAACTTAATTCTCTTCTCTACTTAAGGAACCTCCATTATGTATATGGTGGTGTGTTTGATGGTATCTCACAAGTCCTTTAGGCTCTGTTAATATTTTTTTATTCTTTTTTTCTTTCTATTTTTCAGACTTGGTGATGTAAATTATGCTATCTCATGGTCATTAATTCTTTATTCTGCCTACTCATATCTGCTGTTAAACTCCTCTTCTGAATTTTTCATTTGTTATTGTACCTTCTAACTGCAAAAGATCTATGTAGTTTTTTTTTTCTTCATTGATTTTAGAGAGAGAAATAGAAACATCGATGAGAGAGAACATCCATTGGATGCCTCCTGCATCCCCCCCAGTGGGGATTGGACCCAGAACCTGGGCATGTGCCCTGACCAGGAATCAAACTGGTGACCTCTTGGTGCATGGGTCAACACTCAACCACTGAGCCACACTGGCTGGGCTCTGTGTAGTTTTTTTGAAATAATTTTTATCTTTAACATGTTTTCTACTTGATCAGAATTTCTTCATATTGTTTCTTTTAGTTCTTTGTACATGGTTTTCTTTAGTCTTTAAGCATATTTAAATAGTTGTTTGAAATTCTTTATCTGAGAAGTTTAATGTTTACGTTTTCTGAGGGACTGTTTCTATTTTTTTTTTCTTTTTTCCCTATAATGGGCCATACATTTGTTTCTTTGCCTGCCTCATAATTTTATTTGCTAAAAACTGGACATTTGGAATACTATAAGATGGCAGTTCTAGAATCAGTTTTTTTCCCATCCCCAGGGTTTGTTCATTTTGCTTGTTGTAGTTGGTGTTGTATATATGTTTAGAGATATTTTTTAACTAATTTTTTAATGTCTATATTTGTTGTGCATGGCTACTAAAGACTCTGCTATGTTAAGAGATCTCCTTGCTTGCCTAGAACAAAAACAAACATACAAAAAACTCCTAGTCTCTGCAGATGGGCTCTGAGTATATAAAGGAGTTTTACAGTCTGCCATAGCCTTCAGATCCTGCTAATGAGTGGAGCCTGAAGGTCAGCCAAAGTTGAGGTCTTTCAGGCTCAATCCCTGATGGGGGCATCATGCAGGAGGCAGCAGATTGATGTTGTGCTCTCACATCAATGTTTCTCCCTCTCCTCCCTTCCTCTCTCTAACAATCAATAAATTGTTCTTTAAAAAAAAAATTATATTGTGTGACTACTCCCCAGTGACCTGTCCAGTTAAGAATTTATGATTTATTATAACACCACTTTTTCACCTGAAAAAGGAATATGAAGGAGTTTTTCAAAAATTCCCCAAAATATCTTACTCCACATTTTTTGTCCCAAGTGTTTGGTTAGTCTTTTGCTTTCTTCTATTTTCCCTTGCTTCAGGTGGCAGTGGATGATACATTTGCCTTTAAATGTGTTTAGCGCACACTCGCTGGGTAGCCAGCTCAGCCCTTGGAGAGTTTGGGATTAGATAAATGAAAGCAAGCCCTTTGAGCCAAACCCTCAGAAAGATCTGAACGAACAGTCACAGTTCCTTGAGATAACAGTCTATTCTGCTCCCTCCAGTACTAGGAATGTGGGCTGTTGTCTTCAACATCACCACCAAAGCAGGGAATAGAGGATAAGTCAAGGACCAGTTAAAATGGTAGCTGTTTTTTCCTTTGGTTAAGTGTTTTTCTGGTTGTTGTAATCTTTTGATAAATTTCCAGAGTTCTAATAAAGTTGATTCTGATATTTTCTGCCAGTTTATTCACTGTTTTTGTAGAGGGGTAGGTTTTTGGAGTTTAATAGTCCTTGTTTTCAACATCATGACTTCTCATAAGTCTTTCTTAAGCACTTCTATGTTCCTGAGTCTGTGCTAGGCTTAGGAGTATAGTGATGAATGAGATCCACCCCGACAGAGCTTTCTGACATGCATTTCCTATGAACTGAATATATCTGTTTCTTACCCTAACTTTGTATCTCCATGGTTAAAAGCTTTAGGGCTTCTGAAATGTGTAATTTAAACTTTGGCATGGCTTTGGGACTACAGTTGACCCTTGAATAACACAGATTTTAACTGCATGAGTCCACTTATATATAGTTTTTTTCAATATATATATAGTTTGCCCTTCATACCCTGGGCTTCACATCTGAAGATTCAGCCAACCTCAGATCAAAAACAGTATTTTTGATCTATGGGTTGGGAATTTGTGAATATAGAGAGCCAACTGTATGCATTGTTCTGTGCCATTTTATATAAAGGACTTGAGCATCTGTGGATTTTGGTATTTATAGAGGGTCCAATCTTATGTGGATACCAAGGGACAACTAAAGTTTTGGGGGAGTCTAATTAAATGCAGAGTTTTGACTGTGCAGGTGGTCAGCACTTCTAATCCCTTAGTTCAAGGGTCAGTTGTATTTATGCCCAGTCACCTGGATATTGGGTGAGGATGCTTATATTTTTGTTCCTTGAGAGTTATAAAATTCATTAGAATTTAAGTGTAATTATTCCACTGTTCCAAAAGTCACACTTGGCCATTTTTAGAATTGTTGGCTTCAGTTTCATGGAGTTGCTTGTCACCTTCACAGTCCCCCTTCAACATGTCTTTTCTCCATGATTAGGGTATCATGTTGATAAACTCAGCCTAATCTCTCAATTGGAGCAAGAAGACAAGGTGGTGACAGAGAGGAGAGAAATTATCCCAGACATTTGTCCAGGTGAGTACCAGGTGGATATGAGTCTTCGTGAGGAATAGTTGTGGCCAGAGATTTGGGACATGGGAGTATTACATTAAGAAATATCAATCAGAGACCTTTGTAAAATACCCTTTTTTTCTGGTGGAGATGGCCAAAAACATTTGGTATGAGTTTCCTCATGTACATTTTTTTGTCCTTTTAACATTCTGTTCAACATCTCATACTTTACTTTGGACTCAGAGATTAAAAAAGAGAGACGTTTGTGTTTTTGGGTTTTTTTTCTTTTAAATTTTTTTTTTATCCTCACCTGAGGACATTTCTGCATTTATCTTCAGATAGAGCAGTAGAGAGAGAGGAAGAAAGGGAGAGAGAGAAACATCGATGTGAGACACACAAGTGGCTGCCACGCACACGACCCCAACCGGGGCTGGACAAACTGCAACCGAGGTACATGCCCTTAGTGGAAACCAAACCTGGGACTCCAGTCCACAGGCCAATGCTCTAACCGCTGAACCAAACCAGCCAGGGCCATCTGTGGGTTGTTTTTTTTTAAGTCGTATTTGCGCTTTTGTCCAATTTCTTTCTACTTCGCATCCCTAATAATTCCTTCTTTTGTAAATGTCTGACAAATCTTAATCCTTCTAGAATACTTTTTTAAAACCTGTAGTTTGCATACTTATACCCCTTTCACTGCAAACCTCAGAACCCTAATCCCTTGGAGTTTAGCTTTACTTGTGTGTATTTTACAATTTCTTTTATCCATCAACTTAAATTTCTTCTCAATTTGTTTCAGATTTGGAGACTATACTTAAAGCCAAATGGTTAACTCCTAAGAAGCATGTTTTTAGAAAAAAACGTTCTAATGGTGTAAAAGCGGTAAGACTAACATGGGTAATTCTTGGTTTTTCATAGTAGAAGAATTCTCTAAGTTAGAAAAGCCACAAAATAAAAAGGAACATAATTAAAAGAAAGTATCATTTACACAGGAGAAAATGGTGTCTTTGGAAAGATGCTATGAAAAAAATGTGAATTTGGAGAAAATTATATTAGCTTCAGACTTGTTTTTTCACTTGAGTTTCCACAAGTAAATTATTTCCTTAATGTGACGAAGATATTGTCTGTTGAATCATAAAGTGGTCTTAAATTTATCAAAAAGTGCTCTGTGAGCCCGGCCGGTGTGGCTCAGTGGATTGAGCATAGTCCCATAGACTGAGAGGTCCCAATTCAATTCCAGATCAGGGCACATGCCCAGGTGGCGGGCTCGATCCCCAGTAGGGGGCGTGTGGGAGGTAGTTGATCGATGTATCTCTCTCACATCGATGTTTCTATCTCTCTAAAAAATCATTTTTTTTTTTTTTTATCCTCACCCGAGGACATTTTTCCATTTTTTACTCAGATAGAGCGGGAAGGAGAGAGAGCAAGAGAGAGAAACATTGATGTGAAAGGAACACATCGAGTGGCCGCCACCCACACGACCCAACCAGGGCCGGGGACAAACTGCAGCCAAGGTACATGCCCTTAGCGGGAACCGAACCCGGGTCTCTGTGGACCACAGGCTGACATTCTAACCGCTGAGCCAAACCGGCCAGGGCTAAAAAATCATACTTTTAAAAAGTGCTCTGTGAGTATAAGGACACTTGTGGCAAAACATGTATCTTTTTGAACTTCTAAGAGCTCAAACTGGGCAGAAGTCATATACAGGCACTGAAAATAGTGAAAGCATCAATTATAACATAAGTTCTGGGAGAGAGAATTTGTATGACAAATTATAATATTTTAAATATTATAATTATAGTTATTATTTATCTCTTTACCAACAGGAAAGAAATCATGTTGGAGTGAAACTTAATGAATGTAATCAGTGTTTTAAAGTCTTCAGCACAAAATCTAACCTTACTCAGCACAAGAGAATTCATACAGGAGAAAAACCCTATGACTGTAATCAATGTGGAAAATCTTTCAGCAGTAGATCTTATCTTACTATTCATAAGAGAATACATAATGGGGAGAAACCCTATGAATGCAATGACTGTGGGAAAGCCTTCAATGATCCCTCATCCCTCAGACTGCATGTAAGAATTCACACTGGAGAAAAACCTTATGAGTGTAACCAGTGTTTTCATGTTTTCCGTACTAGTTGTAACCTCAAAAGCCACAAAAGAATTCATACAAGAGAGAATCATCATGAATGTAACCAGTGCGGAAAGGCCTTCAGCACAAGGTCCTCCCTTACTGGGCACAATAGTATTCATACAGGGGAGAAGCCTTACGAGTGCCACGACTGTGGGAAAACCTTTAGGAAGAGCTCTTATCTGACACAACACATGAGAACTCATACTGGAGAAAAACCCTATCTGTGTAATCAGTGTGGCAAATCCTTCAGCAGTAGCTTTTCTCTTACTGTGCACAAGAGAATTCATACCGGGGAGAAACCCTATGAATGCAGTAACTGTGGGAAAGCTTTCAATAATCTCTCTGCTGTTAAGAAACATGTGAGAACTCACACTGGAGAAAAGCCCTATGAATGTAATCATTGTGGAAAATCTTTCACCACTAACTCTTACCTTTCTGTGCATAAGAGAATACATAATAGGTGGATTTGAATACAGTAACTGGAAAAGCATTCATTGATTTCTTACCCCTCAGACAACTTGTGGTAACTTAATGCTAGGTGTATGAGTTACCTGTTGCTGCATAACAAATTTCCCTCCAAAACAGTGGCTTCAAACAACAGACGTTTATTATCTCACACTTTCTGTAGGTCAGAAGTTCATAAATGGCTTAATTTTGTAGTTCTGCCTCAGGATCTCTCATGAGGGCACAGTCCAGGATTGTCAGCAGGAGATATAGCATCCGCATTTTTACTGTTGAAGAGTCTGTTTCCAAAATGCCTCACTCACATGCCTGGAAAGTTAGTGCTGGGTGTTGGCAGGGAACCTTCATTTCCTCACCATGTAGGACTCTCCACAGGCCTACATGTCTTTATGATGTCGCAGCAGTATCCATGCAGAGCATTTGATCTAAGGGAGAGCTAATGCCAAAGCTATGTCGTTTCTTATAGCCTAGCCATGGAAGGACATATTATCACTTCCGTATTGTATTGGACACACAGACCAATCCTGATACATTGTGGAAGCAGACTTCACAAGGAGTATGTACCAGGAGAGAAAGATCCTTGGGAACCATCTGAGAAGTTTGTCATAAAATCAGAGAAGAAAGGCCTTCAGCTTTTCAGTCTATTTGATATGAAGTATCATTCAATAACTCTCATGTTAATTCGCTCTGGAGAAAAGCCTCGTGAGTGCAATCTTTGTGGTAAGCTTTCAGCTCCAACTCACCTTAATGTGTGCAAAAGATTATGTACTGGGGAGGAAACCCAAGAAGGTGCTCGCTATAGGAAAGCCTTCAGTGATACCTCTGCACAGTCATGTGACAATTCATATTAAGAGTAAAACCTTATAAATAGCAGAATGCAGAAAACTTCAATAACACTCATCCCTTAGAACACACATGAGAAATCACTACAGAGAAACATTTATAAAGGGATGTGAAAAACCTACAGCACAGATATTCACATTACTGAGCAAAAGATGGTAAGATATTCTGAATGCGATGGGAAAGCCTGAATGTTCTCTCAGTTTTCAAGAGAGGAGGATTTATTCTGGAAAGAAAGTCCTATTAAATATCATCAGTAGTGGAAAGTCTTCCAGTTTTCCCATTTTTAGGATCTCAGAACTCAGTGCAAAGAAACCTATGAATATAAAGATTCATGGAATGCCCTTAATGATACTTTTTACATTAAGAAAAATATGAAATTTGCCCTGGATGCAAAACCTGTCAGTGTATTAATTTCGGAAGATCTTTCTATGATTCCTGTCTTTGTTGACTTGTGAGAACTCACACCAGAGGGGGAACCCTAGGAATGTAATCAATATGAGGATGTCTCAGCCTCACCTCTTCACTGAGTAGCCACAAAATAATTGAAGCTGGGAATGGAAAATGTAAACCTTATGAGTGTGGTATGTTACTTTTAACAGTGTCTAATCCTTAGGTTGGTCCATTAGCTCATTAATTTTCAGTTGATTTAGTATAAACATTTATGTCTATAGCTATACCCTAAAATAAACCTGAAGTTATGTTCTATAGTTTGGTATATAATATGTTTATTATCATTTACTCTTTAAAAATGTCAATACGTGAGAAAGGTATTTCTGAATATCTCCTGAGCGATTTAGTTTATCAGAATGAAATTAACACTGTATGTGCTATATGCTTTCCTTCTAATTTAATGGCGTTTTTGTCAAGTAAGTGGACTTTATGGTTTTGATATTTTTTTAATCTTTATATTCTAGTATGGTAGTTACTTTTAGCTTCTCCCCAGTGCCCATTCTCCCCTACTTATTCACTTAAAGAAAAAAACTTTTTTTGTTCAAGTGGTCAAGCAGTATTGAAAAGACTCAATATGTAAAGCTTCCCTGAAGCCCAGAGATGTGTTGACCTACTGTGCTGGCCATAAGAAGTGAACAGAAGTTACTGGGGGGAACATCATCTGGCCTGTTCGCCTTACCTATATTCTGTTCATCTTAACTATTTTTTCCCTTGAAAGTGGGCTCAAGACCTATAATTGGAAAAACTGTATTTTTATTATGATGACAAAAAAAAAAAAAAATCAATGATATGTTCTCCCCAGGAACTTCCGATTGGCTATGGATTACTTATTCTATTTTTTTAATATGTTTTTATTGATTTTAGAGAGAGAGGAATGGAGAAGGAGAGAGAGATAGAAACACCGATGAGAGAGAAATATTGATCAGCTGCCTCCTACACAGTCTTCACTGGGTACCAAGCCCACAACCCAGGCATGTGCCCTGACCAGGAATCAAACCAGCAACCTCTCAGTGCATGGGACAATGCTCAACCAATTGAGCCACTCTGGCCAGGGCTGGATTGCTTATTCTTAGGCTTCTCGTTATATGATTAAAAGTAACCTCTGAGTGATTGGAGCCAAAGTGATTTTGAGGAGGGGTTATGTTAATATCCACCTGAATGCAACATCTAACTAGTAAACCTACTGGTCAGGTTTTCTCAATGTTTCATGTTTTTTTTTAAAACATTGTGCCATCTGTAATTTTAAAATATAGAGTATATGTCCATTAATTCAAGCTAATTGTTTTTTTATATAGTATGCACATTCAGAGTTTTTTCCTCAGACTTATTTATATTTAGTGATAGATGTGTATTCAAGTCTTCCAGTTTGGTTATAAATTAACATTCATTTTTGTAATTTTGTCATTTTTATTTATATATGTTGATGTAATGTAACTAAGCAACAGGATTATTTTCTTGTGAATTGCTTCTTTTTAGGTAGGGACCATATTTTTATAGCCAAGTATTTCAATGCATTAATAAATGATTATGTATTTATATAGCTCTTTCCATATACTGGACACTCTTCTGAATGTCTTATGAGTAGTAACTTCCTAATTATTCAGTGTAAGCTTCAAAAGTATATGCTTTTAATATCCCCATTTTACAGATGAGGAAACTGGTGTAGTACACTTACGTTACTAGCCTGAGTTCAGTGGCTAGTAAAGGATAGAGCCCAGAGGTGAACCCAGACAGGCTGTGAACTTAACCACTGTCCTCTTTATTGGATATATTATATACGCTAAACTGTTTGAGGCACACTGGTGTCTGTAGCAATGAATGAAATTCACACTTTGTCATTGAAACACATCCTAGTGGGAGAAAGATTATAGAAAAATCAAGAAAATGTGTTATTGTAAGTGTTATATGAAAAACCAAAGCACCATATGATAATTAAGGGGGTTTCAGATCTTGCTATTTTATATAGAATAGAGAAGGAAAGCCTCTTAGTTAAGGGGCATTGAACAGAGACCTTAATGAGTTAGAACAGTGAGTCATGTGAATTTATGTGGCAAGAGCAGTGTTGACAGGCACATGGAAGCCAGTGTGAATGAAGTAGAACAAGTTGGGGAGGGAATGTTGAAAGATTGGTAGAAACTAATGTGGTCAGACTTGTCAGATTCTTATCTTATTGGGTATTATGGGTCATTGTTAGGACTTTTTCTTTATACTTTCAGAGTCCCAGCAGGAAACAACTGACACTCAGATTAGGACAATTTGAATAGAGCTTTCATACCTTACTACTCATATAGTCATAGATAAGATAGAGAAAAACCACAAAAGGTGGTTGGTACTCGGTAGCTGGTAAGAGCAGGGCTCTATTAACACCCCTAAGCCTGAAGGGGCAAGTGGAGGGAACAGTTTACTGAAATCTGGAAACGAGAGGAGAAAGGTGCATTCTGGGGTCTGTGAGGAGGTAAGGAGTAGCATCCAGTCCCAGGTTCTGCGAGAAATAGCCAAAGCAAGATTTCGTTTTCATTCTTTTGCTTTAATGCCTAGGTTCCCTATTGACCAAACCCAACCAGAAGCCATAAGGTAAGAAAGCCCTTAACTTCCTGGGTGCAGAAAGATGGAGAAAATGAATCCACTCGGGCAAATGGAAGATGTCCAAAAATGTTTACCCCTTTTGCTTTTTGGAATCTACTCTTGTCAATCATCTGGGTGGGGATTTCGTATCCCTGCTCAGGAAGTCCACCAGCTATTGTACTATCCTGGGTGCTGACAAAATATTGATATTCCCCCCCTGTAGTCTAAAATAGTTGCCTCCTTCCTATATGATGTGTCATGGGGCTCTTGGGAAGAAAGCATTTTTAAAAAATAACCTAAAGATCCTGGTTTCCAGGGGAAGAACACCCACAAGCAGACAAAGATCCCCATTATGACTGCTATGAGACAAGCACACAGAAAAGAAGTCACCATGCTTCTGCCATAGGTCATTAATCCTGTCACCCTGAGGATGTGGGACTTGGTTATACATTGAGGACAGAGGAAACATTTGGCACTTGGGTGATCCATTGGAATGTCTCTTGATATCTTACCCAAATATGTGGAGCAGCTGTGTGCTGAGAAGGACATGGTGACCAGGTGTTTCTGGATCATCACTCCAAGTAAGCCACCTAGACACCTGAAGTGCTAGCCAAGCATGAAGGGAATCTAGAATGGGATAGTAGAAAAGTGTGACAAGAGCTGTCGGTTGCAGCATCGAGAAAAGCTGCTGTCAGGTGCTGTCAATTTGTGATCCTACTCTTGTAAGTTTCACTAGTCAACATGACCAACCACTTAAAGAAGCAAGTGCATCTGAGCAATAGAAGTGGTGGATCACAATGGAGGCAGAGATATATCTTTTACATTATTTTTTCAGGGCTAAGTCATTCACGCCCCCTGCTGCTGGAAGTATTGGATGCTAATAGCTCATGCTGCCATTGTCTAGGGATTCCCTTGGGCCAAAGGAAAGTGCATCAGTTTGAGACACTCCTGAAGAGCCACCCCAGCTCCAGAGCTCCCAATGGAATCAACTGTACTCTGTCTTTAAAAATTCAGTTTCTGCCCTGGCCGGTTTGGCTCAGTGGTGAGAGCATCGGCCTGTGGTCCAGAGAGACCTGGGTTTGGTTCCCGCTAAGGGCACGTACTTAAGTTGCAGTTTGTCCCAGTCCCTGGTTGGGTCGTGCGGGTGGCAGCCACTCGATGTGTCCCTTTCACGTCGATGTTTCTTTCTCTCTTCCTCTCTCTCTTTTCCTC